TCGACAGTGGGGACCTCAGCAGCAGAGGCGCCCTCAGCAGCAATGGGGACGTGGTGGTCCGAGGAGCATCGGCCGCAGCAGCGGCCCAAACAGCTGGGGGGCTAGTCGCGGTGGCTGCGACGTCGGGCCTTGCCAGTACCCGGATCTTGACTGGCCCTAGTGCTGGCACTACCTGCTGGCGTCTTGACCACTCCGCCTTCCGCTGTTTCAGTTGCCTCGACGACCTCTACCGTGAGCGTTCCGGGCCTGACTCGGTTCCCTTTTATTAGCCTGTTCTGCTTCGCCGTGGTTGCCGTATGATGTTGCCTCTAATACTGTCGGATTTGTTCGCTTATGTACCTACCTTAAGATCTTTGCATGTTCCTAGTGTAGGGGGCTTGCGTTTTTAGTGTAGGTGCTTATATAGTTATTGCTGACGTGTCTCTCTCCTTCACGCTTGACTCCGGCGCGTCCCAGTGCTACTTCCGCGACCACACTACTGTCACGCCACTTCCTGCACCAGTCTAAGTTGCTTTGGCTGATCCCGCTTCTTGACCAGCCGTTGCTCGCAGTTTTACCACACTGTGTCCGGTGGTCCCCTTTGATTCCATCGCCGATCTCCACATCCCCTCGTTCTCCAGGAACTTGGTGGGTGTTGAACAGTTTCAGGACCGCGAGGTCACGGTCACTTTTACTGCACATGAGAGGTTTGCGGCCTGTACAGACGTTTCCACCAGGGCACTTCTTGTGACGTTCTCCAAGGAGCCTTCGTCAAGGGTCTTCACACTGCACATTGGTCCCCCCAGATAGCTGCGTCTGGTCAGGTTGCTGTGTCGTGCTCCTGTCGGTCCCTCACCCACCCGTCAGTCTTGTGGCACCAACGTCTTGGTCACCCTTCACTCCCACGCCTCCGCCACATGTCTAGATACGGTCTTGTCTCAGGTCTCCCGTCCTTGCTTCCGTCACTCCCTCCTTTGCCAACGCCACCGTGCACTCCTTGCGTCGAGGGTAGACTGCGCGCCAACCCTCACTCCTCCTCCCTTGCACCAGCCACCGTGCCCCTACTGACTTTGCATTTGGACGTTTGGGGCCCCGCTCCAATCACTGGGTCAGGGCAGAAGAGCTTCTTCCTGGTGGTAATTGACGACTTCTCCCGCTACACCACAAAGTTCCCCTGCGACAGAAGGCAGACGTGCCTGGTGTTCTGATCCCGTGGTTGCAGGCCACCAGTGCCCATCGTGACCTCCCTGTACTTCGTCTCCACTCAAACCGTGGGGGTGATTTTCGCCCCCTTGTTCTCGCCCGAATATGTTGCGAGCGGGGCATCACTCTAACCTGGACGCTTCCGTACTCGCCACAGCAGAATGGGGTTATTGAGAGCCGCATTGGCTTGACCATAGAGATTGCCCGCACCTCCATAGTCCATGCCCGTGCGCCCCGATTTTTGTGGGCCCATGCGGTTCGCTACGCCACACACCAGCTGAACGTATGGCCGCGTGTCTCTCGCCTGGAGGTTTCACCGACCTGTATCTGGAGGTGCCGCTCGGAATTTTGTGTCTGGGCCCGCCTTGCGCATGTTCGCAATACCACCTCGGACAAGCTTTCGGCTCGCACCCTTTCTGTGTCTTCCTTGGTTTCCCGGTTGACGCTCTTGACTTCATGTTTTACCACCTGCCCCTCCACCGATTCTTCAATTCCCGTGGCATCACTTTTGACGAGTGCGTCTCCTTCTACGCCCACTATCCCCATCGAGGTCTCCTGGTTCCTCCCCCTCCCCTCTTCCTTGTCCCCACTCTTCCCCCTTCTCCTACTCCTCTGGTACGTCCAACCCACCCAGGTCCTGCCCCGTCAGGTGTGTCTCACGCTACCACTCCTCCCTCGGTAGCAAGTACGGTATCGTCCCCTTCACCACAGTCCCCCAAGTCGCCTTCACAATCATGGCACCCACCTTCGGTACTACCATAGCGGGTCGTAGTGGACTCTTCAGGTACTGCTACTGGAGGTACTGGTGCTGGAGGTGCTCGTTCTAAGGGAGCTAGTGTCAAGGGTACTGGAGCTGGAGGTACTGGCACTGGAGGTGCTGGTTATGGGGGTGCTGGAGCTGGAGGTGCTGGAGTCGGAGGTGCGGGTTCTGGGGGTGCTGGAGGTGGAGGTGCTGGAATCAGAGGTGCTAGTTCTGGGGGTGCTGGAGCTCGAGACGCTACGCCCCCTGCCCCGACTGGCCCCCGTTACCTGTCGAGGTTTCAGCGTCAGCGGCAGCAGGAGCAGCAGCAACTACATCAATAGCAGCAGCAGCAGCGGCTGCAGTAGCAGCCGCCGCAGCAGCCGTGGCTGCAGCCGCAAACGCCGCAATAGCAGGTCGTCGCCACCCATGAGTGGTCTTCGGACCCTTGGTCTTCCATCCTCTTCTCCTGGCCACTCACATTCTCCTCCTGCACACGGTCCTACGTTTCCTCATCCGGACTCATCTCCGGCTCTCTCTCCCCCCTCGGTCCCTGCTATCTCCTCCTATTGTCCAGTCCCCTTGGTCCTTTCTTTGTCCCCCAGGTGCTCGTCACTCGTCTCCTGTTTGGGACCTCCGTTCTGTTTTACTTCGTCTAGCCCTCCTCGTTCTCCGCTTGCGACTGTCCTCCCGTTGCCTCCTTCGTCAGGTCTCACTCTTTCCTCACTGCCTCTTAGTGACTACTACCGTACCGCTCGCCTTGTTGTCTCACGCGTTCGCTCGTCTCTTGTCACGGACCCTACTGCCTCTCCGTCGTCTGTCTCGGCTCTTGTTGAAGCTATCACTGACTATGCCACCCGCTTGGTGGCTGCTCCTCCTACCCGTCAATTGTCCGCCAAGGGTGAGTGTGTCCTTGGTTGTGACGTCCTAGAGGGCAGACAGTTCGAGCTGGAGTTCCTTGCGACCGCTTCTCCCCATCTATGTGCCATGCTGCTAGCCCCTGAGGGAGACCCTGACGCTCCAGACATCCCGACTCCTCGTACTTACACTGAGGTAGTGTCGGGACAGTGGGCCTCACAGTGGATAGCAGCCATGGACGCAAAGATGGCGTCTTGGAGATCCACAGGCACTTACGTCGACGTAGTTCCCCCTCTCCCTGCGAACGTAGTCGATGGCATGTGGATCTTCAAGGTGAAGCGGCCGCCTGGATCGCCGCCAGTCTTCAAGGCCTGCTAGCTGGCTAGAGGCTTCAGACTGCGTGAGGTAGTGGACTTCCTCCAGACCTTCTCCCAACCCCGAAGATGACTACTCTTTGGGTGCTACTACACGACGCAACACAGCAAGACTACGAGCTGCACTCACTGGAATTCTCCACTACCTTTTTCAAGGGCATCCTGCACGAGGAGATCTGGCTACGTCGTCCTCCTGGCATCACTGGTACTCAATAACCCCAATGAAGCCTGAGACGACCAGTCTACGGACTGCACGAGGCACCTCGTAAGTGGCACGACACCCTGCGCACCACTCTTGCTAACCTCGGGTTCCGTCCTTCGTCCGCCGACCCTTGACTGTTTGTGCATTCTGGTCCCACTCCTTTCTTCGTCCTCGTGTACGTCAACGACCTGATCTTCGCTACCTCAGAGAGGGTTGCTCTTGCTTTGGTGAAGTCCGAATTGCAGAAGAGACACACATGCTCTGACGTTGGTGAACTTTGCAGCATCTTGGCTTGCAGATCATCAGGGACAGAGCAGCGCGCACCATCACTCTGACTCAGTCACACATGGTGCAGCAAGTCCTTCAGCAGTTCGAGATTCAGTTCTCCACCACAGTGCCCACTCCTCTTGATGTTGACCACAGACTCACTGCTCTTATTCCCGATGAGCCTGTTGAGCCTAGTGGTCGCTACGCATAGCATGTGGGTTGCCTCATGTATATGATGACATGCACTCGTTAGGACCTCGCTTATCCTCTTAGCGTCCTGGCTCGCTTTGTTGCGGCTAGGAGACACGGTCTTGTTCACCGGACGACTACTCGGAGGTTAGCGAAGTACGTAGCGACTACATCAGGCATGTGGCTTGTGCTTGGAGGGAGACAGCCAGTGCGCCATACTGGACACTGCGACTCGTCGTGAGCGGACGATGAGGAGACCAGCAGGTCGACTCAGGGGTACTGTTTTGGCTTGGGCTATGAAGCTGTGTTGTGGAGGTCTACTCGGTATTCGTCTGTGGCTTCGTCCGTTGCTGAGGCCGAGCTCTACGCCGGTGCCATGGCTGTTCAGGAGCTCCGCTGGCTTACTTTCTTGCTCACTAACCTAGGTGAGCGGCCTAGCTCTGCACCGACCTTGTTCACTGACAACAAGGCCATGATCCTCCTGTGTCGAGAGCCTCGACTAGAGAGTTGAGTTAAACACATCAATACGGTATGCGGTGCGTCATACTCCGAGAGCTGCAGCGTCGCAGTTAGGCACGCTTGGTATTTGTGGCCTTAGTGGCCAACACTGCATACATCTTCACCAAGGCCCTCCCACCACATGTTCTGTTTGCAGCTTGGCTTGTTAAGACAGACCCTCGTTTGTTAAAGACTTGCCTCTTGTTTCTTGCTCTACGGTACTTGTTTTGTTATTTATTTCTATATATATGAACTCTTAAACTGGCCTTGTAGCACCCTGAGTTGCATCTCTTGCTTTGTTGTTGTTGTTGACTGGTCGCTGGCGCTAGGGCGACAGGGCTAGCAGGGCCGCGGGACGATGAGGGGCAGCGCTAAAGGCTGCGCTAAGCGGCGGGCTAAGAGCTAGGGGTGGGCGAGGGTAGGTGGAGCGGAAGCGAGACCTAACCTACTGATACCATGTCACAAAAGAATGATCAACGTGAAAGCATACATGGTTCATAAGTACCGAAACTGTACCTCCTAAATAGTAAACCAACCTAGCCTATAATATTCCGTATCCAAATATATCAACAGAGAGTACCAAGCACCCAGGGACCCTTGGAGGTGACCCCCAGCCCCAGGAGTGGTTTTAAGCTGGAATTACGCCTTTATAGCTTGAGATTATTAGTCCCTTCCTTCACCAACAATCCGTCTACACCGCCTGCATGCATGCCTCCTGCAATGGCCTCGCAGCGCCCGCCTGTGCCTTGCAGTGGGATAGTGGTGGTGTCACGGGGCAGCGTGTGGCCGTGCCACCTTGCCAGTGCCTCCAAACACCCGATGAGAAAAGCCCTGCCAACCCATGCAGCACACGCAGAATAAGGGGAATTCTATTGCACGATTCATGTGCACACTGCTCGAGGCAGCGTGGTGCATGAGCTGGCGATTGGGGAAGCAGCAACGGGCAGTGAGTGAATGCAAGTGTCACGTAGTACAAGCAGCAGCTCTCCATAGCCATCAGCAGTGCCACACCACTGAGACGAACGCAAGGAGCAGAAAGAACATGGCCACATGTGGAACACACGATTGTACTTCACATGTGGAACACACGATTGTACTTCACATGTGGAACACACGATTGTACTTCACATGTGGAACACACGATTGTACTTCACATGTGGAACACACGATTGTACTTCACATGTGGAACACACGATTGTACTTCACATGTGGAACACACGATTGTACTTCACATGTGGAACACACGATTGTACTTCACATGTGGAACACACGATTGTACTTCACATGTGGAACACACGATTGTACTTCACATGTGGAACACACGATTGTACTTCACATGTGGAACACACGATTGTACTTCACATGTGGAACACACGATTGTACTTCACATGTGGAACACACGATTGTACTTCACATGTGGAACACACGATTGTACTTCACATGTGGAACACACGATTGTACTTCACATGTGGAACACACGATTGTACTTCACATGTGGAACACACGATTGTACTTCACACTACCTCACCTTCTTCCCAGCACCGACTCACCTCATCACTATCATCTCTGTCATCCTCCTCCTCCTCGCTCTCCCACTCATCCTCATCCCACTCCTCCTCCATCCACTCCTCCCCATCGTCCCACTCCCCTCCCTCATCCTCCACACCACCACCCACCCCTCTCACCCCGTACCTCCCCTCACCCTGCCCCGTATCCACATCACCATGCGACCACCTGTCCTCCTGCCCCTCCATCGCCACCCCCCGTCGCCCCACCTCCTCCACTTCAAGCAGCGCTCCAGTCGCCCCACTGCTAACCCCACTCCCTCCTTCTCCCCTCTCCCTTACCGCCGCTCCACTCTCCTCATCGCCCCATGCCTGGCCCCCCACCATGCTCCCTTCCTCTGCCTCGTGCCACCCGTCCCCTCCCCCCCACCCCGCCACCCCCTCTGCCTCCCCCCGGGCGAGCGCCACGGCCCGGCCGGAGAGCACATCGCCCCACCAGAACCACCGGTGCACCGCCGGCTGAGGGCATGGCACATGCACGCGAGGGGGAATGGGGCAGGGCGGGTCGGGGCATGGATACCGAGAAGTGGGCGCGCATGCGGGGATGCGTGGAAGCCGCAGAAGGGGAGCGAGGGTGCGGTGCAGAATGGTGTGGGGTGGTGCAGCAGGCGACGCAGCGAGGCAGCGGACGGAGAGCAGCAATGAGCAGTGATAGAGTGGATGTGGTGTAGTGGGGCAGGGAGGTAGGGATGGGGAAGAGGGCTGTGCAGCACACAGTGCATGAAAACCATGAGGTGCTGCAGTGAAGTGAGGGGGCAGATCTTGCCGGTATCCTTAACAACTTACAGGAAAATGATTTATTATTCGATGAATTTCAGCGGCTAAATACTAGTAGCCCACATGCAGAAAGAGGAGGCACAGTGCATCCCCTCAACGCACTCCCTCCCCCCCGCACCTGCAGCGACCCGTTGATGCCGACAGCGACGGTGGTGAGGCCGGCAGCAGCGGCGGCACCGAGGGCGCGCGAGTAGCCGCGGTCGTCCGACACGAGCAGCACGGCGCCCACCTGCCCGCTGCGCACCGCCGCCGCCAAGTCCCTCTTCAACGCCTCGTCCGCCGCCTGGGGGCCAGCACCCGTGCGGAGTGCGGGAGAAGTGGGGGGTTGGTGTGGGGAGGGAGCGCAAGTGAGTAGCAGAGTGAGAAGCAGAGTGAGAGGGTGGAAGATGCAATGGTGAGGCGGCCACACTCACCTCTCACCTCCACCTCCTCCATTCCCCTCCTCTCACCTCCCCCCCTTCCTCACCACCCACCTGTGACTGCTGGCTGACGAGGCGCACGACCACCCCGGCGCGGCGCAGCTCGGGCATGAGCCCGTAGCCGCGGCGCGGCAGCAGCACGCCGCGCACGGCCTGCTGGTACCGCTGCTGCTTGCCCCGATACTCCTCCCTCAGCCGCCGCTTCCGCCTGCACGCACGGCATGGGGGGGGCGGGCAGCAGCACAGACGTGAGGTAATGGCAGGGGTGTGATGGGGCGAGGGGCAAAGGGCAAGAGAGGGCTGTGGCACGGTGGGGCCTAGGGGATCTCAGCGGTGCAGAGGGCGGAGGAAAGGCGATGAGGGAATTGGGGCGGACATGGGCGAGGGACACGAGGTGTGCGCAGGTGTGAGCACGGGGGGTGGAGGGGAGGGAGTGGGCGAGCGCGCACTTGGGGGAGGCGTGGTTGAGATGCTGCATGCGCTTCTCATGCTCCCTCTGGTGCAGCGACACAAAGTGCTTCCTCAGTGCCGCCGCCCCGCTGCACCGCCGCCCGCACAGCTCGCACCGCACCTCCCGCTCCTCCGACTCTCCGCGTGCCGCCATGCGCTCCGCCTCACGCCGCTCGCGGCGCTGCTCGCGCACCCAGGCGGGGACGTGGTCGAAGGCGTGGCGGTTGGCGTACGCCAGCACGTCCACGGGCGACCCGAAGCTGGCGGCGAGGTCGGTGAGGCGCGTGGCGGCGTCGAACGGCTCCATGCGCTCCGGCTGCACGTTGTCCAGATCCCACAGCACCACCGCGCGGCCCCCCGCCGCCGCCCCCTCCACGCCGCCCCACCTCGCCTGCGCCACGACCCCCTGCCTTGCTGGTTCATCCGCCCCTCCCCTCGCCCCGGTTGCGCCAGGCGCGCCCATGCCCCTCACGGTCCCCATCCCGCTGGCCCCGCCCGCCTCCTCCCCGCGCAGCACGGCGCCCTCCGCCGTGGTCGCGCGCGGGAGTGCGCCTCCGCCGAAACCCCGTTGCCCCTTATGCGATTCCCCCCATGCTCCCGAAGCGAGCATCGCCGCACTGCCTTCCCGCGCCCCGCCATTTCCCCTCACGACCCCCTCGCCGCCTGTCCCCGCCGCTGAGAGCGTCCGTGCGACGCGGCGTGGAGAGAGCGCAAGAGGCGCAAGGGACGCGGTCGCGTCGGGGGCAGGGAGCGGCGCAAGGCCGCAATCGTAGAGGGGACAGGTTGCACGCGCCGTCCGCAAGGCGCACGCGGCCGCGCGACGTCTGCTGCTCGCCGCAGCGGAGTGGCCCGTCGCAGTGGTCGCGAGGCTCCGCTGCGAACAGCGCGCGACGGGGCCGTGCGATGCGGCGGGCGACGAGGGAGAGAGAGACGGAATGAGAGCGCTGCGGGAGCGATGGAGAGGCGCGCGGAGAAGCATGTGGGCGACCGGCGCGGCGAGGCGGAAGGCCGCGGATAGGCGGAGGGACGTGGAGAGTCGGAACGGCGTGGAGAGGCGGAAGAACATGGGTTTGAGGTGAGGTAGCGTGACGCTTGAGCCCTTGTGGAAGCGCGCACGGCAGTGCGCGGAGCGCGGACTACCTGGCGGAATGCGTGGGAGTGGACGTGGCACTCAACACGCGCCTCCCAGGTTGCGGTTTGGAAAGTCCTAAACCTGACAGTGCAAATCGGCATCCTGTGCTCACCACCCTCTGTGAGGAAGGGCGCGTCCAACGTCGTCTTACAGTTCGGACGCGAGTTCAGCGAGGGAGAAATTCAACAAGGGTTGGGTACGGGCGGTCATTCATTTTCGTTGTTTGAGGTGGTTTAGTAAGCCAACCACTTTGAATAGCTTTTTCCAATTTTCGCACCAGAATGAACCTTTCAAAGTCAAATGTGAACGAAATGAATAAGCCCGCCCTTAAAGCTCAAGGCCCAAATTGCGGGCCGCGCGAGGCAAGTTTAGTAAGGTTGATCGAGTGCTGCTTTGCAGCTTTAGCTGGGCGAATTGTGGTTACGAAATGTACGAAGCCATCTGATTGGCCAGAACATTTGAGTCAGCGAATGGAACAGGTGGTGCGGGAAACTGGCAAGAGTAATATTTGTGCAATATGGGACTCGCGCAACCAAACCTGAGCGTCCCCTAGGCTTTGCTGAGTCAGCAAATTTTGTTTTGAGTGTGGCGAGAAGCTGGGCGAAACCAAACCCCTACACCCCTCAAACACCTCGACTTTCCTACTCTGCTTTCCCACCACCCAAGGGTCAACTTTAGTAATCCTGAACAATTTGGGCCTTGAGCTTTAAAACCGGGGTGCACATTCAGCTGAATGTGCATCAAAGGTTATCCCTTGACTGAGTGGGTTACGAGGTGTGCTTTCAACCCCTTCAAGTCGAAATTCGTTTCCCCCCTCCCCCGCAATTTCGTTTCCCCACGCCCCCGCAATTTCATTTCCCCCTCCCCGTCGAAATTCGTTTCCCCCCTCCCCCGCAATTTTGTTTCCCCCCTCCCCCGCAATTTCGTTTCCCCCCCCTCCCGCCAATCTGTTTCATCCCTCCCGCCATTCGGTTTCACCCACTCCCGCCATTTCACCCCCTCCCGCCACCTACGAAATGCCCGAAGCTCTAGCGGAATCATTTTTTTGTCGCCCCTCGTGAGCCAATCACTGTTTTTCTCCAAACCCCCTTCCCAACATCTCAAGCCGAACCGCGTTGAATGTGCACCCTGGTTTTAACACTGCCCAACGAAACGAAGTATTTTTTATTTCGCACACTCATTTCGTCAACCCCAACCACGCAAACCGAATGTGAAAACTTAAAGCAGGGACATCAAGTGCGAGGTCAGCGAATTGCCCGACTTTCGAAATTCGAACCAGAATGTGCACGGTCCAATTTCCCGCTGTTGTTACCACCTAGGTGTTTGGTTGTTTCGAGAACATCAACCTTGGGCTTTGAGGTCAGTCAAGCCCTTTCATGAAGCATCCGCTCCAAATACGCCCAGTTATGTTCACGGCGCGCCGTGCCATTCACTCGCGCATTCTAGTATAAACGCAACGCTCTGAGGAAATGACGGACCGCCCTGTTTTCTGGTCTCCAATTCCTTTCGGCAGTGGTTTTGACACCACCCCGCTTCGCGCTCGCGTCCGATTCCTTGGGGCAGTTTTTTCCGACATTTCCAATTTCCTGTGACGAGGAAAATTATGAAGTCTACCTGGTTTCAGTTTAGTGGCCACTGTAAAAAAAATAAAACCCACTCGGAAGGCTGGCCATTAGGGAGGCATCAACCCTAAACACCTTGCCTCATGGTGTTTAGGGTTGATGCCTCCCTAATGGCATGCCATCCAAGAGGGGTATATATTTTTTTGTTCCGCGCTGCTAGTATATAAAACAACGCTTGATTTTGGATATCCCCAGAAATAAAAGAAAGTATCATTGGTAGGACTCGGAAAGGGAATTAGCGAAATTATCGGCCCGAAGGTATCGGACGCGAGCGCGAAGCGGGGTGGTGTCAAAACCACTGCCGAAAGGAATCAGAAACTGGAAAACAAGGCGCTTTGTCATTTCCTCCAACGCTCTAGTCGCAACGCTCCAATCGCAACGGTCGAGTCGCAACGGGAAAGAAAGCGGCAACGTAATTACGACCGAGTAAAGCAATCAGGTGGGTCAGCATTGGCCCGGCGCACGCCCACCATCCCGACTGCGCAAATACGCCTCGCGAGCACCCAAGGAGCGCCGGCGACTGCCAGCGCTGCTCGTGCGGGTGTCTCGACGCCACACGCCTGCCCCGCCGCGGTTGTCGCACCTCGTTGACTTGTGAGTCGCGTGCCCGCCTCGTCCGCCTCGCCTCTCCGCCTCGCCTCTCCGCCTCGCCTCTCCGCCTCGCCTCTCCGCCTCGCCTCTCCGCCTCGCCTCTCCGCCTCGCCTCTCCGCCTCGCCTCTCCGCCTCGCCTCTCCGCCTCGCCTCTCCGCCTCGCCTCTCCGCCTCGCCTCTCCGCCTCGCCACTCCGCCTCGCCTCTCCGCCTCGCCTCTCCGCCTCGCCTCTCTGCCTAGCGCACGCGAGGACCCCTCGGGGGCGGGTAGAGCCACCCCGCCGCGCGTGTCCCCGCCGCGCGTGTCCCCGCTGTGATTTCTGGCCTGTGTATCCCCCCACACCCCTCGCGCCGCGCTGCTTAAGGCTTACCGCCGCCACCCTGACCAGAATCACACTGCCCTTCCTGCTCCCCGCTCCCGCTCCCTGCTCGCGTACGTTTCCCGCAGTTTGTGAGAGGAGCAGCCCATCAGCGCAGCGCGGGGCGGGGCGGGGGAGCGGATGACGAGCCTGCGCGCGGTGGGGCAGCGCGTGCTGTGCCCCGCGACGGACTGCGTTGACATCTGTAACGCGCCGCTCGACGGCCATGTCAAGATGCCGCGCCTCGGCTTCGGTACCTACATGGTGAGACGCGCGCACAGTGTGCGACTCATGGGGCATGTGTGCGACTCATGGGGCATGTGTGCGACTCATGGGGCAAGTGTGCGACTCATGGGGCAAGTGTGCGACTCATGGGGCAAGTGTGCGACTCATGGGGCAAGTGTGCGGCTCATGGGGCATGTGTGCGACTCGTGTGTCATATGAAGCCACAGAGCGCGCCATATTGGAGCGCCCTGCCCGCCCCGTGTGTCCCACCCCCACCTCGTGCGCACCACACTCACCTCGTGCGCACCACACTCACCTCGTGCGCACCACACTCACCTCGTGCGCACCACCCCCGCAGATCTCAGCGCGCGATGCGGAGGCGGCGGTGGTGACGGCACTGAGGGAGGGGTACCGCCACATCGACACCGCCCAGCTGCACCGCAACGAAGCTGCTGTTGGTCAGACTCGCCCCCCCCACTCCCCCCTTTTGCCGCTGTCCCTTCCCCCTCCGCCCTTCCCCCCCTCCCGCGGCCATCCTTGCTTATGTGTCTCTGCCGGGGGACCTGCGATGCTTTACCATGCACTCGCCATTCCATGCACTCGCCATTCCATGCGCTGCCTGCAGCCGGTCAAGTGTCATTCTTTACCACCTCAGCCTCATGTGGGCGCACCATCATCCCATTCCATCCCATTCCATCCCATCCCATCCCATCCCATCCCATCCCATCCCATCCCATCCCATCCCATCCCATCCCATCCCATCCCATCCCATGCCATGCCATCTCACCCCATCCCATCGCCTCGCACCCCACCAGGCAGGGCGGTGAGGGCGAGTGGGGTGCCACGGGAGAGTGTGTTTGTGACGACCAAGCTGTGGAACGCCGACAACGGCTACGACGCCACGCTGCAGGCCTTCCACCGCTCGCTCACCGACCTGGGGCTCGACTACGGTGGGTGGGACTATGGTGAGTGGGACAGGTTCGCGTGATTCAAACCTCCCTTCCCATGCCGACTCCGTCCATCGCATCTGCCTTCCACACGCCCCTCACCGTCCTCAACCCAAGGCATGTAGTCCTGCCCCCTCCCAACCCCCCCTCCCCTCACCCCAACCCCCCCCAGTGGACCTGTACCTGCTGCACTCGCCCATGCGAGTGGACGCGCGCCTGGACTCGTGGCGCGCCATGGAGGATCTGCTGCGCGGGGGGCGAGTGAGGGCGATAGGGGTGAGCAACTTCGGGCAGCACCAGCTGGAGGAGCTGTTTGAGCACTGCACCGTGCGCCCCGCCGTCAACCAGCTCGAGCTGCACCCCTTCGGCACGCGGCGGCCCCTCGTGGACTTCTGTGTGCAGCACGGCATGGCGCTGCAGGCCTACTCGCCCCTCACCAAGGGCACTCGCCTGCGCGACCCCACGCTTGTTGAGGTGCGCTGTGCGGTGCAGGTGGGTGTGCTGCAGGTGGGTGTGCTGCAGGTGGGTGTGCTGCAGGTGGGTGTGCTGCAGGTGGGTGTGCTGCAGGTGGGTGTGGTGCAGGTGGGTGTGCTGCAGGTGGGTGCAGTGCAGACCATGAGTTGAGCTTCAATCAGGTGTGACCTTAGCAGGGCGAACGCAGTTCGTTTGTGGCACAATGTGCAACGGGTTGGAGCTGATGGTGGCAGGCCAGGGGGGCACAACACAACGTGCTTGAGGCACGGACAAGCAAAGGCAGTGGTGGACGGAAGAACTGCGCAGGCCTTTTCTACGTAAGTATTTTCACGCACGCTCGAGTAGTGATACATAAAACTCTAGACAAACTCTTCAATAGGCAGGTCAAAAATCAATCCAGAAACCGTCCCGGGGGGGCAGTAGGCATGAGGCGGGCCGGCCCGATGTGTGTCAGCTGTGGGCCCGACTCGGCCCTCTTGGACCACACCGCCGGGCTTTCTGCGCTTGGTTGGGCCAGTCCAGTCCAATTTTCGGCCCGGGTCGGGCCGGAAAATGCGTGTGTTCCAAGCCGCGCGTGCACACCTTATAGCAACCGGGCTGTTGGGCGGATGTATGCTGGGCACGTGGAGGCAGGCAGGGCGAGGCGGTGCAGGTGTGGATGGCAATGCAGATGATGGCACTCGCTGATACATGCTTGCTGCTTCCACCTCACCCCCACTGCATGTGCACCTCACGCCCACTGCATGTGCACCTCACGCCCACTGCATGTGCACCTCACGCCCACTGCATGTGCACCTCACGCCCACTGCATGTGCACCTCACGCCCACTGCATGTGCACCTCATGCTGCCATCCGGCTCACCCCTCGGTTTTTCCACCCACCCACGTGTGGCATGGGTGGGCAGATGGCAGCGCGGTACGTGAAGAGCACGGCGCAGCTCATGGTGCGGTGGTGCCTGCAGAAGGGCTTCACCGTGCTGCCCCGCTCCGTCAACCCCGCCCACATCGCTGCCAACACCCAGGTGACGCCAACACCCAGGTGACGCCAACACCCAGGTGTCGCCAACACCCAGGTGACGCCAACACCCAGGTGCTGCCAACAGCCAGGTGCTGCCAACAGCCAGGTGCTGCCAACAGCCAGGCGCTGCCAACAGCCAGGCGCTGCCAACAGCCAGGTGCTGCCAACAGCCAGGTGCTGCCAACAGCCAGGTGCTGCCAACAGCCAGGTGCTGCCAAATTCCAGGTACTACTCACGCCACTCTTGTATAGCAGCCACATTCGTTGTCCACTTTGTGCCCTGCTGCACACATGTGCCCGTCTGCTGCGATTGCACACATCATATTGTAGTGCACACATCATGTTGTAGTGCACACATCATATTGTTTTGCACATATCATATTGTAGTGCACACATCATATTGTATTGCACACATCATATTGTAGTGCACACATCATATTGTACTGCACACATCATATTGTATTGCACACATCATATTGTATTGCACACATCATATTCTATTGCACACATCATATTGTAGTGCACACATCATATTGTATTGCTCACATCATATTGTATTGCACACATCATATTGTATTGCACACATCATATTGTAGTGCACACATCATATTGTATTGCACACATCATATTGTATTGCACACATCATGTTGTAGTGCACACATCATATTGTATTGCACACATCATATTGTATTGCACACATCATGTTGTATTGCACACATTATATTGTAGTGCGCACATCATATTGTATTGCACACATCATATTGTAGTGCACACATCATATTGTATTGCACACATCATATTGTATTGCACACATCATGTTGTATTGCACACATTATATTGTAGTGCGCACATCAAATTGTATTGCACACATCATATTGTATTGCACCTGCTTTGTGTCGTCTGTGCCTTCCATTTAGTGTTGTGGCCTGCATTGATTACTCTTATGCTCATTCCTTTGGCTGCTGTGTTGCTATTCCATGTGCAATGTGCCATATGTCACGTACCATGCACCGTGTGCCAATTTCCGTGTACCATTTGCAATATGCCATGTGCCATGTGCTATGTGCCTTGTACCATGTGCCATGTGCCATGTGCCATTTGTCATATGCCATGTGCCATGTGCCATGTGCCATGTGTTGTGTGCCATGTGGCATGTGTCATGTGCGATGTGCTATGTACCATGTGCCATGTGCCATTTGTCGTGCCACGTGCCATGTACCATGTACCATGTGACATCTGCAATCTGCCATGTGCCACATGCCATGCCATGTACCACGGTTCGTGTGACATGTGCCATGTGGCATGTGCCGTGTGCCATGTACCATGTGCCATGTGCCATGTACCATGGGCCATGTGCCATGTACCATGTGCCATGTGCTATGGCTGCACACCTTTGATGTGCACCATGGCCTGCACTATGTACCATGTGCCATGCGCCAACTGCCTGTGCCACGTGCCATGTACCATGTACCATGTGCCAAATGCCATGTGCTATGTGCCATGTGCCATGTACCATGTGCCACATGCCATGTGCAGGTGTACGACTTCAACATTTCTGACATTGACATGGCGAAGCTCGACTCACTCAACGAGGACTACGTTACAGGCTGGGACCCCACTCGGGGCCCGTGAACATGATGGCAGGGCTTATTTTATAACTTTCACAACACTGTTTATCAGGGCTGTTGGGAAAAACAAAACCCTGAAATTCAGGGTTCCTTGGTAGCTTTACTCTAATTTGACAGTGTTTTTCCTCCCTCGTGTTGAGATACCGTATTCCCCCGGATATAAGACCCTAGGGTCTTATGCTAAATCCCCAGAAAAAAATGGCGCGGGGGGGGGGGGGAGGGGGGGGGGGGGGGCTTAACAAAGGAAAAGAATGTATACCACCCGGGTGTTTTTATATGGAATATTTGTTTTTGGTGTTTTGAACACTACAGTTTATGCTGAAGTTGGGGGTTGCCTTTGGGAAAATATGTGAATGGTAACTTTTAAAGCCCGCATGCAAAATAGTGACCCCCCCCTTCTAGTTGGGTCCACTAGAAAGCTCATGAAAATTTCCAGAAAGTTTGGTGTTTTTTCTGAACAGGGCAAGTCCCCAAGTAGTAACAAGACCGATTTGAAGTTGTTTCCGACTTCTGATACGATCAGTCGCAACATGCACAGAATTGTCGCAAGCTTGCTATGACATTTCCACTTCTCCCACCCATCCAAATCCGCATCGAGCACAACACATCACAAATTTCACAACGGAACCTGCCACCACACACGCAGCATACACACAATGTTGAGCTAACTAACAACACAGAGTGATGCAAGTAGCAAACAGAAGAACGACAAGGTGACTCGAGAGGAGAGAGAGGGGCCGACGGGAATTAGAACGGTAAGGGAGGGGGTATAGCGAGGGCGATTTACCGTACAATGGGGGAGATCGCGGGCGACGGAAAATGGAGTAGATCGCGTAGGCGACTGCAAATGGGGGATCGCTATGAGATCGCGTGGGAGATAGCGAGCGCGACGGGGAGAGGGGGGAGAAACAGCGAGCGCGACGGGGTGAAGGGGGGAGATAGCGACGGCGCGGAACGTGATGGGAGATAACGACGGCACGAGACGTGCTTGCTAGCTTAACTTATGTTGCGAGACGTGATCGGAGGGGAGGCCATGAGCGCGAAGGCGATGCGAAGACAGGTGCACGTGAGCGCGATGGTGACGGGAGGGCGGAACGTGAGCGCGATGCCGATGGGAGGGGAGGACGTGAGTGATAGGAGATGAAGTGGGGAAGGAGAAAGGCGACGGGAGGGAGAGCGAGAAGGCGAGGGGAGGGGGAGCGGACAGGCGACGGGAGAGAGAGCGCGAAGGCGAAGGGAGGGAGGGCGGACAGGCAACGGGAGGGAGAGCGCGAAGGAGACGGGAGGGAGGGCGGACAGGCAACGGGAGGGAGAGCGCGAAGGAGACGGGAGGGAGGGCGCGAAGCCGACGGGAGGGAGAGCACGCAGGCGACGGGAGAGAGAGCACGAAGGCGAGGGGAGGAGGAGCGGACAGGCGACGGGAGAGAGAGCGCGAATGCGAAGGGAGGGACGGGGGTTCAGGCAACGGGAGGGAGAGCACGAAGGCGAGGGGAGGGGGAGCGGACAGGCGACGGGAGAGAGAGCGCGAAGGCGAAGGGAGGGAGGGCGGACATGCAACGGGAGGGAGAGCGCGAAGGAGACGGGAGGGAGGGCGCGAAGGAGACGGGAGGGAGGGCGCGAAGCCGACGGGAGGGAGAGCACGAAGGCGACGGGAGAGAGAGCACGAAGGCGAGGGCGGGGGGAGCGGACAGGCGACGGGAGAGAGAGCGGACAGGCGACGGGAGGGGGAAGGGATATCGCGAGGGCGACGGAAGGAAAAGGGGGACATCGAAGGCAACGTGAAGGAAGGGAGATAGTGAGGGCGACGGGAAGGAAGAGGGGACATCGAAGGCGAGGGGCGGGAGAACGGGAAGGCGACGGGATCGGAGGGAAATCGCGACGGCGAGGGGACAAGAGGGGTGAACGGGAGAATAACGGACCGGAAGGGGAGACCGTGACGACGACGGGAGGGCCGTCACGCGTGTGTTTGCGAGGGCGACGGAAAGGCGACGGGACGGACTGGAGAGCGAGGCGACGGGCAAATTGATTGAGACGGGAAACTGGCACTGCGCTACCAGGCCATGTAAACCTACATTTCAGACTCTTGCTAAGTCGACGATTGACGCACTCGTCGGTAATTACTTGGCTATGACACGAACGACTGTGCTTTCAGCTATACTACTTACTATGCTATGCGGAAACTAGTGATGAATGGAGTGACATAAATCTAGTAAGGTCGTGTCCGTAGGGATGACATGTCAAGCATGAGAGTGTCAACTTGTGGTTTTGACACTTGCCAACATTGTTGGCAGAGTGTCAACGACATAAATATTGCCAGCCAGTCCAATTCGTCGGATATCCTTCTCTGCGAATCGAGTAGCTCCATCCAGCCAACCAAACCGGTCGGATCAAGAATTCTGACGATCCACACCTGCCCAATCAACGGATGAAAAATCCAGTGCGACTGCAAGGTCGTGCAAGAAATCGCCTGTGTACTCAAATTAGTGCCAAACCAATAAGGTTGCGTCGCATGATTTTGTGTTGCGCTTCGATTTGACACTGAAGCTACAGTGCTTGACACTCCAAATTCCGCGAGATTCGGGTTGACACTGCCAATGTTGACATGTCATCCCTACGGACACGAACTAATGCACCCATCACCAGCTGGAAAATGAGGTTGGGCCTGCGATGGGAAACCTGTCAGACTTATGTTATAGCCTGTTTAGGCTGTAGTGGGTTAGACAATAGGGGGTACAACATTTCTAGGTTTCCCTTTTGTACCCAACTCACTCCTAGTAATTTCATTCCTCGTTATTCTCACATGGTATAGAGCAAGTCCCCTAGTGGGAACGTTTTCTAGGGCCCACCACTACTACGATTTTTTTTTTCCTTACCTGCCCAGAGCGCGCTTCGCGCCTGCCCTAGTCGCGCCCCGTGCGCCTGCCCTCCCGTCGCGTCCCCTGCCCTTAGCGGCCCGTCGCGCCCCTTAAGGCTCTTTCGCGGCCCCTTCTCGGCCCTTCGCGACCCCTCTTTCAGCCCTTCGCGGCCCTTCGTGGCCCCCCTTCACGGCCCTTCGTGGCCCCCTTACGGCCCTTCGCGGCCCCTTCGCGGCCCTTCGCGGCCCCTTCGCGGCCCTTCGCGGCCCCTTCGCGGCCCTTCGCGGCCCCTTAACGGCCCGTCGCGGCCCCCCTCACGGCCCTTCGCGGCCCTCTTCGCGGCTCTTCGAGGCCCCCCTCACGGCCCTTCGCGGCCTCGCCCCGTCACCTGCTGCGGTCCCGCCCTGCCCCTCTCGCCAGTCGCGGCCTCCACCTGCAGCAGCCGCCGAGGAGCCCTGCAGCAGCCGTCGAGGAGCCCTGCAGCAGCCGCTGTCCCTGCCGCCACCGCCGAGCCTGCCTCCGCCGGTGTGACGAGCCGCCGCCGCCGCTGCTGTCGCTTCTGCCCCGGCCCTGCCCTGCTGCCGAGCCGCGGCCCTGACCTGCCGCCCAGTTGCGGCCCCGACCTTGCCGGCGCACCACGGCCCTGCCCCACCAGTCGCGGCCACCCTACCCACCCGCCCCTGGTAAGAGCACCGCCGAGCCGCGCCGCCCTGCCGAGCCGCGCCGCCCTGCCGAGCCGCGCCCCCCTTAGCCGAGTCGCGCTGCCGCTACTGCTGCTAGCCTGCTACTGCTGCTGTCATGACTAGTCCCAATGTACTCACCTTCGATGCTGAGGGTCGAGCGGTCGATTTTGAGGTCTGGGTCGATGATTTGCAGCTGTTCCTGCAGTGCGATAGCAAGGACGGTATCTCAATGTTTGATCTCAGTTCTGGCGCCTCTGCTGCACCTGCTGCTGATGCTGCTAGTACTGTTCGCTCTGTCTGGACTACGCGCGATGCTGCTGCCCGTCTTGCTGTCCGTAGTCACTTGCCGTCTGCTGAGCGCGCACACTTTAGCCAGTACAAGACTGCTAGCACTCTGTACACTGCTGTTGTTGCGCGCTACTCCTCCCCTGCCACTGCTGCCCTTAGCCGCCTCATGCTGCCGTACCTGTTCCCTGACCTAGCCGCTTTTGCCACAGTCGCTGACCTCATTACGCACCTCCGCACTAGTGACACCCGCTACCGCGCTGCGCTTCCTGCCGAGTTCTGCGCCAAGAACCCCCCCCCCCATGTACATCACCCTCTACTACCTAGTCACCCGGCTCCCTGACTCCCTTTGCTCGGTCAGGGACCACTTCCTCTCCCTCTGCCCCACCACGCTCACCGTTGACCTCCTCGAGGAGCGCCTCCTTGCAGCTGAGAAGAGTATAGTCGCTGTAGGGGCCTCTCGTGGTGACCCTCGCGCCCCTTTCTTTGAGGGGTGCTCCCCCTCTCCCCTCTTGCCCTCTGTTGCCTCTGCTGCTGCTGTCGACCTCGTTGGCACCGAGTCGGTCGGCGCTGCGTCTGCTCCTAGTGGGAGGCGCCGCAACAGCAAGGGCAAGGGGGGCAAGGGGGGTGGAGGGGGCGGCGGGGGCGGAGGTGGTGGCGGTGGTGGAGGCGGAGGGGGTGGGGGTGGAGGTGGAGGTGGGAGTGGTGGCTCGGGTGGGGGCTTCGGTGGCGGCGGTGGAGGTGGAGGCGGCGGAGGCAGCGGGAGTGGGGGTGGAGGTGGCGGCGGCGGAGGCGGAGGTGGGGGTGGCGGTGGGCAGCGGGGAGGCTCTAGCGGTGACCAGCGCCAGCAGCAGCAGCGCTCCCGTGAGACCCCGTCGCCCCAGCAGCTCCGTGAGTGGTACGCTGGGCGTGGGAGGTCTGGGGGTGCTGGTCCCTGCACCTACGTTCTTCGCACCGGCGACCGCAGTGGAGAGCCGTGCGGCGGCCCGCACACCACTCCACGCTGTTTCGGCCCCCTGACTGACGCCTGGCGTGCACAGTTCCCTGGCTCCACTGAGATCCCTCGCTGGGATATTCTGCTTAAGTCGGGGGTTGCTATCTTTGATCTTGACTATGTTGCTATGTATGCTGTGTCTATTAGTGCTGAGGGTGACTGTTACCTGTGTGTTCCGCCCGACCCGGGCATTGAGACTGCTGCTCTAGGTGCTAGTGAGTCTGCTGCTCCAGGTGCTGGTGAGGCTGCTCTCTCACGTACCACGTCGGCTCAGGTCTTGCACACTTTCAACCTTGACTCGGGTGCTTCCCGCTCCTTCTTTCGCGACTGCACCACACTCTCGCCGCTCAGTCGGCCTGTGGCAGTCTCGCTGGCTGACCCCTCTGGGGGACCAGTTGTGGCCCGTTCCTCCACTGTTCTCCCGTGTCCTGCGGCTCCGTCCGGCTCGCTGTCTGGTCTTCACCTCCCCTCGTTCTCTACAAACTTGGTGGCGGGTGCTGATCTTCAGGATGGGGGTGTTCACCAGTTCACCCCTGCCTATCAGCGTGTGACACACTGCACGTGTGCTCGGACGGGTCGTCACCTGGCCACGTTTACCCGTCGACCAGGGTCCAGCCTCTACACCCTTACCACTGAGTCTCCTGTCACTGCAACTGGTCAGGTAGCCGCGTCGGGTCAGGTGTTTGCTGCAGCGTCCCGGTCTGGCCCTGAGTCTGCCCCCTGCTCCTATCGCCTCCTGTCTCACGAGACTCTCCTTTGGCACCACCGCCTTGGTCACCCCTCCCTGCCTCGTCTCAGAGGCATGGCCTCCCGTGTCCTTGTCTCTGGTCTCCCCCCTTCCCTTCCTCCCCTTCCTCCGGGGCCTGCCCCTACCTGCGTTCCCTGCGTCGAGGGCCGGCAGCGCGCCGCTCCTCACTCCTCCGAGTTTCCCCCGACAGAGGCTCCACTGCAGACTCTTCACATGGACGTGTGGGGCCCAGCCCGCGTCCGTGGACAGGGTCACGAGCGTTACTTCCTGCTGGTTGTTAACGACTACTCGCGTTACACCACAGTCTTCCCCTTGCGCCGCAAGGGTGAGGTCACTGAGGTGTTGATCGACTGGATCCGCGCTGCTCGTCTCCAGCTCAGAGAGAGTTTCGGCTCGGACTTTCCTGTTGTGCGTCTGCACTCAGACAGAGGTGGAGAGTTTTCCTCCGACCTTCTGCAGGCCTACTGTCGGGCGGAGGGCATCCGACAGACGTTCACGCTTCCGGCCTCTCCACAGCAAAATGGGATTGCTGAGCGCCGCATTGGCATGGTCATGGATGTCGCTCGTACGTCCATGATCCATGCGGCTGCTCCCCATTTTCTGTGGCCGTTCGCGGTTCAGTACGCGGCGCATCAGATCAACCTACAGCCCCGGGTCTCCATGCCGGAGACCTCCCCCACTCTGCGGTGGACGGGGAAGGTTGGCGATGCGTCTGCGTTCCGTGTCTGGGGATCTCGAGCTTTCGTCCGCGACTTGTCTGCGGACAAGCTGTCCTCCTGTGCCGTTCCCTGCGTCTTCCTTGGCTTCCCCCCTGACGCGCCTGGCTGGCAGTTTTACCACCCCACCTCGCGCCGTGTTCTGTCCTCTCAGGACGTCATGGTTGACGAGTCGGTTCCCTACTACCGTCTCTTCCCCTACCGCACTGCCCCCCTCCCCCCCCCGCCGCTCTTCCTCGCGCCAGGTCCTCCCCAGGTTGACTCCCTCCCCCCTCAGGGTCCTGCCCCCTCAGGTGTGTCCCAGGTAGATGCAGTCGAGCCTGTCGAGGTAGCTGTTGACTCTGGTGCTGCTAGGGGTGCTGAGCCTGCGGGTGCTGGGGCTGGGGGTGCTGAGCCTGGGGGTGCTGAGCCTGGGGTTGCTGAGTTTGGGGGTGCTGAGACTGGAGGTCCTCCGAGTGTCCCGTTGCGGCGGGAGCCCCTCTCTCCA